TAGGGGCATTACAAGCAGGGGAGTCTAACAAGACATGTTTTTTTCCTTATTGGCTTTCTCAAGAGAATGAATTAGTTTTATGACATTTTCCGTTCTTCTTTCATCTCTGTCACAGGAACGGATTGGATATTCCTTCTTCAGTAGATTTGCTTTTTCTTGGAGTGTATTTTCACAGGCTGTTTCAGTTCTCACTGGACATTTCCTTGCTTCCCCCATGGCTGGTGATGTTGTAAGTGGGGAAGCTGGTGCGTTGCTGAAAGGGTGAGTCCTTCAAAATGTAGAATATTGAAAAGGTCAAAGCGATTCTATACAGCCCTGTAGTTCAGTGCATTCTGCAGGTATTAACATTCAGATACCTTCCACTACAGCAAAAACTGAAACAAGGGATGAAAACAATCTCTACTCATGACGAGTATTGCAAGTGGGATGGAGAAGGACAATAAACACTTAACCTGTTCCTGTAACTACTTTCACATTTTAATCACTTTGTTTTAAATGACAAAATCTTATTTACTATGAGTTTCTATTTTGCTATTTAATATCTGAATTCTACTTTCAGAGCCTGTGATCAAAAACCAAACTGTAAAATGAGATTTTTTCCAATTTTCTGGCTGAACCTGAAAAATAAAACGAAATATATTTCTAACCACCATTTTTTTAATTTCTAAATTAAATAAAATTCTAACTACCACCCAGCCGTTGTTTTTCTTCTTCTCTCACTCCTTCTACCCCAAGAAAAACATGAAGAATTATTTTGGTGAGGTTTCTTTTGATTGGTTTAGCCTTCAAAATTAAATAAACTTCAATTTCAAAATTTTTAACTGACACTAGCCTTTGAGACAAGACGCTTGAAATTGAAAAAATAAAATGTTTTGCTTCAGATTTTTTTCAATAATTGTTTTCCACATGTAAAATATTCACAATTACTTTTTATCCACCTGAAATGGCTCTTTTGGTGCTTGAGAGGCTTGTTCTGGGCCTGCTTGGATCCTGGGCTGTAAGGCATGAGATTAGCAAAGCTTGGCCAGGTCTGTTGCTGTGCTGATGTTGTGCCTGTGCATCAGGTGTATTTTTGGTCCAGGTAGCCCTGGGAAAATGAAGTATGAACTGCTTGGAGTAGAATGGGAGAAAGACCTCAGTGACCTTGCTAAAACAATTTCTCGTGTTCCACCTTGGCCTAGTCATTGATTCCTGCAAGTCTCTAAGTCACTTCCGTGGCTGATCCCACACTTCATTAAAAAAACACCTATTTTAGCGTGTCTGACTTTGTCAATCCCATGTGATCTCTTTCTATGACCATGTGACCCGCCCTCTCGATGAGGGGAAGGCTGTGGACATTGTCCACCTGGGCTTTGGTAAGGCCTTTGACACTGTCCCCCACGGCGTTCTCCTGGAGAAACTGGCGAATCATGGCATAGACAAGGGTACCCTTCACTGGATAAAAAACTGGCTGGATGGCCGTGCCCAGAGAGTTTTAAGTAAGGCGGTGAAATACGGTTGGTGACCGGTCAACAGTGGTGTCCCTCAGGGCTCAGTTTTGGGGCCCGTCTTGTTTAATATCTTTATTGATGATCTAGATAAGGGGACTGAGTGCACCCTCAGTAAGTTCGCAGATGACACCAAACTAGATGGGAGTGTTGATCTGCCTGAGGGTCGGAAGGCTCTACAGAGGGGTCTGGACAGACTGGATCAATGGGCCTGGGCCAATGGGATGAGGTCTAATAAGGCCAAGTGCTGGGTCCTGCACTTCGGTCACAACAATCCCAGGCAACGCTACAGGCTGGGGGCAGAGCGGCTGGAGCTGCCCAGCAGAAAAAGACCTAGGAGTGTTGGTGGACAGCTGGCTGAACATGAGCCAGCAGTGTGCCCAGGTGGCCAAGAAGGCCAATAGCATCCTGGCCTGTGTCAGGAATAGCGTGGCCAGCAGGAGTAGGGAAGTCATGGTGCCTCTGTACTGGGCACTGGTGAGGCCCCACCTTGAGTACTGTGTTCAGTTCTGGGCCCCTCACTACAAGAAGAACATTGAGATCCTGGAGGATGTCCAGAGGAGAGCCACCAAGGTGGTGAGGGGTCTGGAGAACAAGTCCTACGCGGAGAGGCTGAGGGAACTGGGCATGTTTAGTTTGGAGAAAGGGAGGCTGAGGGGAGCGTCTACAACTCCCTGAAAGGAGGGTGTAGAGAGGTGGGGGTTGGCCTCTTCTCCCAAGGGAATAATGGCAGGAGCAGAGGGAATGGTCTGAAGTTGGGGCAGGGGAGATTTAGGTTAGATATCAGGAAGAATGACTTTGCTGAGAGGGTGGTCAGGCACTGGAACAGCCTGCCCAGGGAGGTGGTGGAGTCACCATCCCTGGACGTCTTTAAGAAATGTGTAGATGTGGCTCTTCAGGGCATGCTCTAGTGCCCAACATTATTGGTTTGTGGGTGGACTGGTGTGTTTGGTTTTGGTTTTTGGTTGCGTTTTTTTTAAGGTTGGACTCGATGATTACAGAGCACGATCTCAGAGGTCCCTTTCAACCATGGTGATTCTGTGATTCTTAATTTACACATTTCTAAAATAACTTTTAAAACATACAGCCATTCTTACCCTCCCCTTCAAAATCTCTTTCAGGGAGATTTTTCTTTTTTGTTAACAAAGATTATGCCTATATACTTCTTGACTGCAGTCAATTTTCTGTTACAAGAGGTTTAAATAAACTCTACTGCAGTCTTTATTTTTTATTTCCCAGCCTTCCTGCAGCTCATTGCAAGCCTCCCTCTTGCCTTTGTTTTATGCTGTCTTACCCTCCACAGCGTGACAAACAAGACACTCAAACTTAGGTTTCAGAAATCTAAAATACTTCAGATTTTTTCCTACCTAGACATTTGCAATAGCAAAACCTGAACCTCCTAATGAAAGGCCCTGACTGTAGCAAATCACAATGGAAAGGGGAAAAAAAACACACCATGCAACCCTCATCGCAGGATCCCCATCCCTCTTCTCGCTTTCTGAGAGTTTCAACTGCTCTCCTCTCACTTCTCATGGCATTGCCTGCCTCTTTGCAGCCCTTTCTCTTTAAAACGCCCAGCTGAGCCCTCGTCTGTGGATTAAGTTCTTTCAGCTGGGCCTGTGACTTTTTCCTGTTGAGGCAGTAATTTTAATTATCTGCTTTTTCTCACTTACTTGCACAGTCTGTGACCACAACCAAGTCATTAATGCATACGCACACAGATAAGTGATCAAAAAGATACCCTATTTCACAGCATACATTTTCCCTATGAATGTTTTTGTTCTTAAAGAATATCTTGCTCTATTATCATCACACGGCCTCTATGATGATGATGCAACTCATATTCTCCTGTTGTTTCAGTCAGCCAATACTAAAATCAACATAAATGTGACACTACAGCAGAAAGAGCCAAATGGCATATGAAAATGGACCGAATATCAAATTTGCCTCATCGCTGAACGCAGTGATTTATAAAACCTGTAACTAATATAACATCACAGTTATAAAGGGCAAAGTATTTTGATGCCTTCTTACATTTCATGCCATTCCACATAAACTTTGTGGCTCCAGCCCACTGAAGAAAATAAATGCAATTTAGAAACTGTTAATACAGAACCGATCTGATGAGAAACATCATCCTGCTGGAAGAAATACACTTTCCACGTGCCAAAATCCGTGTAATGGAAACAAAGCCCTCTCCCAGCCTCAGGAGCAACGAGGCCCAAGAGCTGCCTTTCCGCACACCAGAGGGCTCTGGCCCATACCTGCTGCTTCTCCACAGCACAAAGACCCCTGCTGAGGGAAAATGAAGAGCGTATTTCAAAGTAAATCTCATCTTGTGGCGGGCATATAAAGAAAAAAGTCAAACTTACCGTGAGCAACTGGGACCTGCCTCAAGCCCCTCAGCCGCGTGAGGGGTCAGGTGACACTGGCCTGCGGCATTTCAGCCAATCGGAGAATGGACCTCCGTGCCCCGGCCAATCAGAGGGGGTTGTGGCGGTGTTGCCGGGGTAAGGGGTGGCAGGCGCCGCAGGGCCGTGCGCAGAGCGGGTGACGGGGTGTGTGGAGGGGAAGATGGCGGGAGCTGCTCCCTGGAGGAGGTGACACCTCTGCGGGTGTTCTGGAGGGTTCCCCGGCTTGAGACTGTTGTGCCTTCAACACACCCCATGTCAAAAGCCCTGGGAGGGACCCCGTTGGGGCTCACCTCCGTGGTAGAAAAAGAATAGCTGAAGCTAAAGTGGTTAAACAAATATTTGGAGAATTTATTGGTTCCTGGATGCCTATTTAGAATCATAGAATCATAGAATCATAGAATAGTTTGGGTTGGAAGGGACCTCAAAGATCATCTAGTTCCAACCCCCCTGCCCTGGGCAGGGACACCTCCCACCAGACCAGGTTGCTCCAAGCCCCACCCAGCCTGGCCTTGAACACCTCCAGGGATGGGGCAGCCACAGCTTCTCTGGGCAACCTGGGCCAGGCTCTCACCACCCTCACAGCCAATGAGATCTGGTTAGTGTGAACACAAGAGTTTAAAAAGGCATTGATTTTAAAATAAAATAAGCTTCAATAATTCTTTTTCTTTTTTCCTTCTCTAATTGAAATCAATTTATTAATGCAATCTCAAGGTCCTTTTAATCAGCTGAACATTTGTCTTTCTCTGTTGGGGAAAAAAAATAATAATAATCATTTTCTTATTCAAAAAGTGACTAACAAAGCAAGACTACTGCAGCCTCCCGTGGGTCACGTCTGCACGCAGATGGAAACACTGCAAGACTTCATGCTTTCATGGCTAATATTCATCATGTTTATCCTTTGCCCCGCTAGAGTACAAGCAGAAAATGCTAATGAAGAACTTCCCAAGAAGTCAGACTCGGGAAGCTTTCTGCACCCTAGCACATGCAATTGTCATCATCTTCTACAAAGAAAATGGTTATAAAGACAGACAAGAAGAGCCTCTAAACCCACATTACATTTTTTCAGTAGGTGTCATTTTCAGTAATTTAAGAAGCATAATTGACTTTTCAGACCAGTTTATTCTTTGTTACCAATTTCATACCGTGCCAGGTATGACAGTTTGTTGAAAAAGATAAATTGAGATGTCAACATATTTTCCAATTTTGAGAGTGTGAATTGTAAATATTTAATGAGCAGATTCAGAAACTTGAATTCTACATCTGTGTGTGATTTATTTGCTAATGTTGTCAGTATGTTCTCCTTATACTTTATATTAATGCACTGAGCATCCTCCCTCACTCTTTTCTCTTTCCAAATTTCATCAACTGTCCAATGCTAAGACACCTCATCTCTAAAATCTCAGGCGATGGTCAAGAAAATAAATGTCTCCTCTCCTTTCCCTCCCTTGTGCTAAGACATGATGTTATTGTGTATCTCAAGATAAGCAGAATATACTTCAGTAAAACAGCTTTGCAGAGTGTCCATATTAAACTTGGAAGAGAATCCAAGTTTTTCAGGGGGTTGCATAGGGTTCTTTTTCACTTTTTAGACTAGTCTAGACATTGCTCTATAATGCATTAAGTGAACACTCTTCTTGATGTTTTAATTTTATGAAAAAAATCCAGTGCCTAGATTTCAAACATGAAGGCATTAATTTTTCAACACGCTAAACCATCCTCAATTAAATTTGCAATAACCCACTAAATGCCAGAAAGTCATTTTGCCATTTAAGGTAACCACAAAAAGCAAGGGGGGACACAGGAAAGTAACTGTAATGTGACTTCTTGTTCCAGTTGGTTCATCAGCTGGTTGTGCGCGATGTCCTCCTGTATGTTGTGGTTTCTGGTCACCCCACTCTGGGCTCGCTCTGCCAGCAGGGCCACAACAGGATGCCACTCACAGCCAAGGCTTCATTTTCATCTTTGCAGACTAAACTGTGAGTTGGGATGTGCTGGAATACCACAGCTGCGACGTGCACAGCTGCAATGAAACAGAAATTATCCAATGAAACAAGGGAAAAAGAGAAGGGAACCTTCTCATTTTCCTTTCAGCATTAGCACAAAGAAATGACTCCTTTCTCAAGGACAGATTCGCACCTCAGCACCAAATCTTCAGGCTTACTGTATTTATTTAAAGAAACCTCATCTATAATAAAATAAAACCAGTATTTTGAAAGTTTAAGCATATTTTTAACAGTTGGAACTCCTGGAAATAGGATGCATGTTTGATATTCTAATCAGTTTGCTAATGGAAACTATCTGTTCAAAATTTATTTGCTTAACTACACAAAATATTTAAACAAACTATTTAGTTGCTTGCAACAGCTGCTGAAGAAATGACACAATATCCTTTTGAACTCTAAAACACAAAAAGAGAGCTATGGAAGCAAACTCCCCATCAATTACTGGCTCAAAACTATTTCAGAAAAAAGTTCTTCTAATCTCCTGCAGTATCTTTTATGTAATCTTCTTTGTAAAAGTTTAAAAATATTTTAAGTAGCACATCCACAACTCCTACTGCCAACATCTCAACTCATAAGACAAATATCTTTGGTGCCATACTGAGAGCTGAAAAACCTAAGCGTTTCCTAAAGTGGATGTGGACACACATGAAGAACACTTCTATGGTATATAGTTTTTTTAATCAATGGTAGGATACATAACACCACACATCCTAGAGCACAAAGCACTGAAAACTAGAGACAATGCACTGAAAAATACTTGCTGGCACAAAGCACACTGTTTACCCAGCTATTCGCATGGAGAGGAGATTCTAGGCACATAGGATTTTGTAAGAAATAATCCTAAAAGCCATCCCCCAAGCCTCTACATCCATATTCAGTTTCAATTTAATTCTTAGAGTGAAATCCTGGCACTGAAAGGTCAATGGAACAACTTCCCTTGGCTTCAGCAGTAAGAAAGCTTCCCTCTATGTCACTGATCTAGAGTATCATTCATTATCATTCTAATACAGAACAACCTCTCAGGAAATGGGAGCAAATCCTGTAAACAGTTCTCATAAACTAGCAGGGGGTTGGACTAGATGATCTCCAAGGGTCCCTTCCAACCCCATGTCACTCTGCAGTTCTGTGATCAGTGGATGAATCACTTGTAGAGAGCGTCCTGGAAGGCTTGGTGAGCTGAGGAAAAAGAAACAGCATGCTTTATAATACAGGCAAATATTAAGTCAAAGTTCAAAAGAGAAGGATGCCTGACTTCCCAAATGGAGGATTCCATCTGGAGAAGCAATAGCTTTGAAAACAGCTTGAGAAAAGTGTTGCGAGAGCACAGGATTTCTCTATTTTTAGATGATAACCAATCCAAAAATTAAAAGAAATTTTGCTCACATGGACTCATAATATTAGCTTAAACTCAAATAATCTAACTTATAACTTATTATATTCTCCAGTTTTTCTTGTCTATTCCTATTCTATTGATAAGTCAATCTCAAAATGCAAGAGACCTTTAAAAAAAATCCCACCCTTACATCTCATCATATCACTTGTTTTTCATCTGAACCGTTCACTAAATTTATCCTGGATTTTCAAATAGTTGTAGTGCCCTAAACTTTCTCCATTCAATTAATAAAGTCTTCAGATAGAAAATACTGCTGTGTACTATCCGTTCAAGTGGTTTATTGAAGGGAAGGTGAACATATCGGGACCAAAATATAGGTCTGAGAGAAGAGCCTTGAGAATTGGCTTTTCAGTCTAGAGAAGCAGCTGATGCACTCTCATAAAAATGTCAGAGAAGAGCAGACAACAACATTAATGTAATAGAATTGCTGAGAATGGCTTGCTTTCCTCCATGGCACACATCTGCTTAAGAACACACAGCAATCACTTCACTTGTACTTGAATTCACCAACACAAAAGCTGTGGGTTACTTGAGATCTCTCTCTGCTTGTTCCTTTGTTATGTTCTTTGCTGTGCTCTTCTATTTTTTTGTGTCCCATTTCCTACATAACAGAAGCATTCTTTTCTTCTCATTCCCTACTGCTTTCATAGGCTACCAAGTCTATTACTTGATTATTATACTTTCTGTTCCCCGTGAAGTTTCTTGTATTCCCCGTACACGGCCCCTTCCTTAGGGTCCTCCACACTGCTCCTCATTTCTCACAAAGTTAATTTCCTCGTCTCTTCCCTCCTGGAGCCACTTCATTCAACTTTTGTTCTTCTTCCCTACTCATCACCCCTTCCTTTCTAAGGGTTCCTGCTCTTGGTAGGAAGGATTGACCCAAGTGCCCAGATGGAACTACCATCTTCCTTTATGGCTTTTCTTCTGCCTTGCCTGCCCTTTGGTTGCTTCTGGCCATGCTCTAGCTTCACCTGCGTGTTCCTCAGAGAGTGAAAAAGAAAAATGGACAGGGTATCCTTTGAATTCTGCATGCTTTCATAGTTATGAGGATGTTTTGATATAACTCAGAACTGAGTTTCAGGGATGCTGAGAGCCCTTTCATTCCTCTAAGCAAGCACTCAATTTATCGATCATACAAGAACAGGAAAAAGGAAAAAAAAAAGATGATTTATTTTTTGACTGAAACACAACGACTGGTATATGAAATATAGCTGTAGTAATATGTTTTTTCTCATATGTTTATGAACTGACACTTGTTCATGTCAAGACAAATATATTATCTAGGCAAAAAGATGGTCATTCTAAGCATCAGTCCCAACTTCTTATTTAGGGGCTGCCAGCAAAATGGGAGCCAAGCACCAATCCATGTGCAGACAAGGAAGCCAGCTCCTTCTTCGCAGCCATTTCACCTACATTCCAGCCGTAGAACATAATTAAAGAAGAATGAGAGAAAAAAAGATGATTTTTGAAATCTAGAGTATGTATAGCAATTTAGAAGCTGCAGGTGGGATAGGAAAATCCATTCTATTTGTTCTCCATTCCAACTCTGCTGCAGAAAAAAGGTTCAGAGGCATCATGCTGTCACACCTATGGCAAATAAAACATTGCTGTCACACGCCATAAGCATCACAATCTGTATCAAAATAAACAGTTTCAACTTATTTCTGCTTGGTGATTCTGTTATCTCCTCTATTTTAGTGTCCAGAGGCTTTAATGAGATGGAATCCAGCTTCATTAGGTACATACACAGAGTGTCTAACCCATGTCTCTTAAAGAGCTGAAACAAAATGTCTGGAAACAAAGACAGTGGTTTTGTTGGTTGCAGAGTAGAAACCACAGACAGACAAACCCTGTTAATTAAGACTCCATATTTGCACACGGTTGAAACCAACTGAATCTGTTTGTGAGATGTTGGTAAAACCCTACAAAGAGACTTCAAAGCTAGCTGCTCACACTGGGCTATTTTCAACGCTGACCACTTGGTCATGTTTGGAACCCCAAATTTCAGCTGTCATATTAACCCCCTCCTACACAGAGAGACACAAACAAAAAACCTCCAAGCTTAACAGTAGAAAATCTCCTGGAAAGACACGAAACTATTAAATTGAAAAAATCAACTGAAGGCCACCTCAACTTTTCATGGGAAGTGGTAGTTCATCTTAATAGACTTTATTAATGACTTCTTTAGGAATTTAGAATTATGCTTTAAATTTTTAATTACAAGAAATACAGAGAAGTCAGATCAGCAGGGAATAAGAATTCACAGCTAGAAAGTATCCATTTTTCAATTCATTTAGCAGTTTGTTTCAAATCTTTTCAAACTGTTGTGATTGACACTGCTGCCGTACAGCTCTGGGACAAAAACGTGCTATCGCCATTGGAAAATCCTGCTGATATCACACGGTGTCCAGTGAAAGACAATCAATACAAAATCTGCAAGAAAAGTTTGGGGCATTTTCTGCACGTCATAAATGTGTCTGAAATGCTCCCTTGAAGGTTTGAATCTATATTGAAAGTGCTCTCATCTGAAACATTAGAGGATATCAACACATCATAAATGTGTCTGAAATGCTCCCTTGAAGGTTTGAATTTATATTGAAAAGCGCTCTCATCTGAAACATTAGAGGATATCAAAATAGGTGCGTTTGGCATTAAAAGAAGCCATCCGCAACTCTTCGGTGTTGGAGAATCATAGAATCATAGAATTGTCCAGAGGTTTGAATTTATATTGAAAAGCGCTCTCATCTGAAACATTAGAGGATATCAAAATAGGTGCATTTGGCATTAAAAAAAGCCATCAGCAACACTTCGGTGTTGGAGAATCTGTGGCATCATGGAGTTTACTCCTACCTAAACTACCAGAGACAATCTGAAGGAGTTTTGAAAAATGGTTCAAGTTCTCCAACTTTGATATAATTTATTTTTTAACTGGAAGGCTAGAAAAGCAATAGTTTTAAATTACTTTACCTTGACACAAGCCTTAGGGGTGGATTTCTGAGGTCAGGGCAGTGGAGAAAAGGGGAAGGAACACCTGAATCTGTGGCATCATGGAGTTTACTCCTACCTAAACTACTAGAGACAATCTGAAGGAGTTTTGAAAAACGGTTCAAGTTCTCCAACTTTGATATAATTTATTTTTTAACTGGAAGGCTAGAAAAGCAATAGTTTTAAATTACTTTAACTTGACTCAAGCCTTAGGGGTGGATTTCTGAGGTCAGGGCAGTGGAGAAAAGGGGAAGGAACAGTGGGGAAAAGACCAGAGCCCAGCTTTTCCAGGATGAAGATACTCAGGATGAAGGTACTCTGCTGGTGCAGAGCCCAGAAACAGCCATGCCACTCAACACCCACCCCACCAGGAGCACACCCAACACACTGGCCAGCAAACTGCTCCCTGGGTACCAGACAGCAAAGGTCCCTGAGGTTGCCCAGAGGGGAATTTGGAATGTTTGAATGCACAGTTCATCCCCTGTGGCATCTACTAAAACAAGAAGAGCACAAGAGGAAAAAGATGAACGGTGGGCTAGTACACAGGCTTACATTCAGAAAAACAAACATCCTGAAAGGGAAAAGGGAAAGGAAAAAAAAGTCTGCCTTTCAAAAGAAAATCCTTAATATGCTTTATTTCTGATACTGTTGCCTCCTTTTGCTTTCCGGAATAGCACTGGATTGTGTTTACGGATGTGAGAGTTTTGCAATCCTTGGAAGTATGTGGAAAAGCATCGGGCTCTCCTTATCACTAAAAGCATCATTATTCTCTCGGCTAAGCAACTTTTAAGATTGCTACTGAGCTTCTCAAAACTCCTGCTCTCTTACCCGGGGCTTCTTGAAGAAAAAGTCAGATGCTTTAGAGTGGTTTGTGCCCAACCGCCTCCCCCTGCAGTCATACTCCTCTTCCATTCATCACATTCCTGCTGTTCTTGCCACAGTCACTACCATTTTCTTCTTGTCCTCAGCAAAACACATTGCTCCATACTTTCCCTTCTCTCCCTGAACACGCAGAGAAGCTCCTCTTTTTTTTTTTTTTTTTAACCTTGTCAAAGACACACCATTGCAGTGGTCAGTGGCTGCCTGACTTTAGTTAACCCCATCATCTAATTAGACTGAACTATAATACAAAAGAGCAAAGTTTATTCATTAATCTTACCATTCCCTAGACAAGGAAAAAAAATCTGAAATCAATACCAATGGAGCAAAAGCTTTGTTTAGAATACTAAAAATATCAGTATATGCCAATATTTTTCAATCTACCTGTACAAATTAGAGGAAAAAAAGTCGGATGTACCCAATATTAATATGTGGCCAGGCAGCTGATATTTAATAAAGTAAAATATTTCTAAAGCTACTCTATTAAAATGCAGATATTAAACACTTTTCTGTAGCAGAGACCAGAAACTTTGTTAGAATCCTCATCAAAATCTCTGTTTGCAACATATGTATGATACAAATGGCCAGGTGCATACAGGTCATACCAATAACTTGTCTCAAGTGTAGGTGTATTCGGGTTGCATTAGATTCAGCACATCAAAATTAAGAAAATCATCCTCAATGAATTTTTTTCCAACAAGTCTGACAAACATTAGCTGGATGAACCAGTTAGACCAGTGGAAGAGCCATACCCACAGTCAGTTATCAGTGATCCAGTTCATAATGAAAACTATATAGTTTTAACAACGAGAAAGACCAGTGGATTTCACTACAATAAGGAATGGGATTAGAATTCAAAATCATGAGAAGTAGCCTGAAAAGTAGGTTAAAAAAAGAACTGGAAAATTCTACACCTGAAAAAGAACAGTCGTCTTAATATGAACTACTGGCAAGGAAGTACTTTTGCAGAAAAGAACCTGTCACTGGTTGTAACATTGAACTGAACAGGAGTCAACAGTTTTATTCCTTTGCAAAAAAGGAAGACACATTCAAAGGAATATAACTTACACTGCCTGTTAGCTAATCCTTCCACTTTAGGTAGGGTTGATAAACACACAGCTAGTGTGTTGTGTCTTACTTTATACTCTGCAGGTCCAAAAAAATGTGAACCAACTGATTCCAAATAACCCGCAAATCTAGACATCATGTCCTGTGTGGAAAGACTCAAAAAAACTGGAGTCACTTACTCTAAAGAAGAGAAAAATCACAGGGGAATAATGCTGGCCACGTGCCTACCGAACTGCAAAGAGGAAACAGCAAAGATGAATAATCTTTTCTCCACATCCAGGAGCACGGAACAAGAAGAGGCTAACAGCAAGGACAGCTAGAAAGTCTCTATTTAGATCCTGGAATAATATTTTTAACCATAACCGTAGCAAAGTAATAGAACAGATATGCTGGGAAGACTGTGACATTTCTACTATTCTCTGAGGAGTGCCATAGGCTGAGTGGATCTGGCATGGAGGTGACTTAGAAAATCTCTTATTTTTGGGGAGTGCTTTTCTACAACTGCACAAATCTCCCCTTCAAAAGAGGTGCAAAGGAAAGGTGCTTGCAGGACAATAAATCTGGCAAATATCTAAGCTTCTAGAATCCATAGCAATGTAATGGGTTTTCATGTTTAGTTTCTTTTTCACTTTCCATAGTTTTCTACCTTTACAGGGCAACTTTTCACAGCTCAGTCTAGAAACTACACAAGACCAAAGGCATTTCACGTTATTGTTCTATACTGTTTTAACACAGTCTCTGAAGTTCTGGTTTTCAAAGATGTAGTAAATTTTCAGAGAAGTACTTAAAAAAAGGACAGTATTTGCTAATATGGTTTAATGGCAAAGATGCATTCTCATGTTTATACATTAATTCATGAAAAAGACAGCTACATATGGCATCCAAGAGAACTGAATAAATTAAGTTTCTTGTTTTGACATATTTTTGGTGTGAAAAGAAGGAACCAGAATCTTTAGAGGAAATAATTTGAAGTCAGGAGCTACCTACCAGTACGAACACATTCCTGCTATCCTTGCATTCCCAGTGCCTCCTTTGAAGCTTCCATTCACCTTTGAAATTCCTGTATCAAAGCAAAGTTTGTATCTTAAAAGACCTTCTTCAATTATTCTGAAATTTAGTTAATAGAATCACCGTCTCCTTCCATCAACTCAGAACAGAGACTGGCAATACAGTGGCACAGCAGGAGTTTAAGGGTTGCTGAAACAAAATTACTGTTCTAATGATGATTACTTTGCTGTTCTGTCTGTTAGCAAAATGAACGTTTGGAGAGGCCGATGATCCTTGAAATTTGTTGTTTCACTGTTATCAGAGTTACCAGAATGATTTCTGAGTCAGGGGTCATTTTTCACTATTACTCATCGAGAGAACATAATGCCTGAAGTGAAATGTACAAGAAAAAGTCAGTTAGGAATTTCAATATGCTACGATGTCTTGGTTGAGAGGAGAGACATGGATATTCAGAATCAAGTGCTTCTCATAACTCTCACCTTCAAAACAAAAACGATCTTAAAGTACTTCTCCAAGACTTCAAGTATTGGAACTAAGTTACAAGCAAAAATGTTAAGTGACGTGTCACTCAGCAAAGTGATAACACACAGCTTGTTTACTAGGAGGCCACCATCAGCCTCTGGGACAGGGTTTTGACCTGCTCTGGCTGCCTAGTACCCTCTGTCCCACCCCTCCATGGGCCTCCTCCCTGAGGTCCCTCTGCTCCCCTTTATTTTCCTGCTTTAGCACTGATGCTCCAAGCTACACATCTGTGCATTCAAAGCCTTGCTGCTGTCTTTTGTTGGTGATGGCAGTGCCTGAATGCAGCACTCTCAACTGCTGTTCCTTGTGAACAATTCTGCTCTTACTCAGACCTTTTGGTTTTAATGATTGAGGTGTTGGGTTTTTTTCTTTTCCTAAGCCCCAGGAGAAGTCCCAAGTGGGGTCTTTACAGTGCCACAGCACATGTGAATGTGGCTATCATAATAACCTCAGCAACTGCCTGCTCATACCTTTTGGCAAAGCATCATCAATCTGTGTGAACTGAATATTCCCCTTGAGACCACTGTGCGGTTCACTGCCCTATTAATGGTTACAACAGGTTAAGAGGAAAAGCAGGAAGAACCCTGCTATGTGAGAAACATTTGGACCTGGGAAAAATAAGGGGAAGGAGGAACCAGAAAAGGACAAAAAGAATTACAGATAAATGGCCAGAGATTCCTGTGTAGATTACTCCATGGAGGAGACCTTGGGCTGATTAAGCAGCTGCCTCTTCTGCCTGGGTGTCTGCAGCTGGGAAAGGAAAGCTGTGGGGAGAAATTTTTGCTTAATCTGGAAAAGGTGTCTTGCTCGTTAGCAAAACGCCTTCCACTGATGTACTGTGAAGGCAACTCCTCTAAGCAGGGGTGGGGATTAACCAAGTTAGTAGGTGAGCAAACCTAGCCTGAAGAGTAGATTTTTCATGAGTGAAAGGGCTGTTTGACACCGATGGCAAGCTCTGACTGCCAGAGCAGCACTGGTGCTGGGCTACCAGGGTGGACAGGATCTAGACTCCAGGGGAAGGGGAGACAATGTTGAGATGAGCACAGTCTTACCTGGGAGCTGGGAAATATTGCTCTTGTACCTAAACATTCAGAATGAGATTGTAGGCTGTTTTTTCAAGTTGTCTAGGCTCCTGGTTTCAGACGTATCTGAAAAAGGACACAGGACTGCACACATCTGATGTGTAACTGATAGGGCTGCTCTTCCAGAACCTGTAGAGCTGTTGCTTCTGCCCTGAAGTACTCTTTCATTTCTGTCAAGACATCCGAATGGCACTTATGACATTGCAGGAGTGTGGCTTTTACCTTTCAGCATCTGCAGTGGGCTGCTTGTCTCCCCCCGGGCAGTGTCTCAGGCAAGCGGAGCGTGGAGAAGGATGAAGGCACTGGTTTTACCTCCTGGCAGAAGTCCACTGACTGTGCTTCTGTCTTCAGCATGGAGAGGTGTGGGATATTCCTTACCAGATGTGCTGTAACAGGGCTGTTGCCTGTGCCTTTTCACAGAATCACAGAATCTTCTAGGTTGGAAGGGACCTTAAAGATCATCTTGTCCAACCGTCAACCTAATTTTGACAAAAATAGACACCCACACAACAAACAAGGAGCATCATCACTAAACCATACCTCCCAGCACTACATCAACCCGGCTTTTGAACACCTCCAGGGATGGGGCCTCAACCACCTCCCTGGGCAGCCCATTCCAATGCCTGAGAACCCTTTCAGTGAAAAAATTTTTCCTAATATCCAGCCTGAACCTCCCCTGGTGCAACTTGAGGCCATTTCCTCTCGTCCTGTCGCCTGGGACTTGGGAGAAGAGACCGACCCCCATCTCTCTACACCCTCCTTTCAGGGAGTTGGAGAGAGCAATAAGGTCTCCCCTCAGCCTCCTTTTCTCCAGGCTGAATAACCCCAGTTCCCTCAGCCTCTCCTCATAAGACTTATTCTCCAGACCCCTCACCAGCTCCGTTGCCCTTCTCTGGACCCGCTCCAGCCCCTCAATGTCTTTTTTATGGTAGGGGGCCCAAAACTGGACACAGCACTCAAGGTGAGGCCTCACCAGTGCCCAGCACAGGGGGACCATCACCTCTCGGGCTCTACTCGCCACGCTGTTCCTGACACAGGCCAGGATGCTGGTGGCCACCTTGGCCACCTGGGCACACTGCTGGCTCCTGTTCAGCCCACAGGCCACCAACACCCCCAGGTCCTTTTCTGCCAGGCAGCTCCAGCCACTCTGCCCCCAGCCTGGAGCGCTGCAGGGGCCCCGTTGGTGGGACCCAAGGGCAGGACCTGGCACTTGGCCTTGTTGAACCTGCAGAAGAGGCAAAGGTCTTAGCAGGACGGAGTAACAGCAGACAGCACTGAAATGAACGGCTCTGCGTAAGCAGGGAAGAAGGTATGAGATGGTTAGAACTCCACCGGTCATGAGCGTGCCTAAACACTTGAGCTGGACTGAAATACCAAAGAGGCTAAAGAGAAAGGACTTACCTGGCCAAATCCTGCTTATAGATTTTTGAGGGTTTTCAGTATTACCTGGAGGAGGAGGAAGGACACCTCTCGAGTGAATTGCTGATTAATTAGACAAGACAAACGCCAGCCTTAATGCTGTAGTGAAGACAGTCATCTTCTAACACTTCACCCATGCACTTGACAGTTCCCATGGTACCTCATGCTGACAGGCCACATGTTCTTGCAGAGCAAACATCAATACAGATTATCACCTACCAAGAGCTGTCATGCACCAATACCAGATACAACATCCTCATTTCTGGTCTCAAGGAGAAACAAGCTTCTACAAAATTGGTATCGTGTTGAATTTTTAAGAACAGATATAAATTAAAGCTCTATACACAGCTGGTAATTACAAACACAAAAAGGGAAAGCGTGAAAAATCTTAGTGCTGATGTAACTAAAGGCAAAAATGAAGACTGTGGTTATGGGAAAGAAATACTTAAATACAAAACAGAGGTGGCAAGTGTCATTCTTGAATCTTGAGGTATATCACACAGCAAGGATATTCCAAACGATCTTAATACTGTTCCTATGATGGCAGATACAGGGAATTTTCCAGAATGCCATGGAAGCTCTTGCCTATTGAACAATATGTCCACAGTGAGATACTTTTAGAATTTTTCTCTGAAACTTAAAAGCCTAAAATAGAAGTAATAAACTATTGTGAAAGGTAGAAGGTACGCTTCAAAACCAGCCTCTTCTCAATGCCTACACCATCTGACTTCCTGGAATGCTCCATTTGTCTTTAAGTGTACTCTTAGAGAATCTCGTTGAAGACTTAAGAGCCCTCAGTGCTATCTTTTCATCTTCTTACCCTGCTGCCTGCTTTTAGGCATCTTCAGCAGAGTCACATGCTTGAATGAAAATGCCATCACTCTGCTCCTCCTGCTTTGCAGGCTTTACCCTTCTCAGCATTCAGGTGTCTGCTCATTTCTCATGCAGCACATCAGCTTAGACTTTTGTGACTTAGAACCTAAAGTGCTTTTTTTCTTTTTCTTCTTTTTTTTTAATTCTACAATTACATAGTTCAACAAGCAAATAAACCAAGATGGGAATTAAGATCATAAATTAAATGTGAAACATCACTAGAGGCAACTACCTAGCCTAAAACTCCTGCTCGGTGACCCCAAAGCTTGGAACATTAAGCCATAATGGCCTGGAAACAGCGGTGTGGCCAAGCACATGATTTACATCCCACATGCATCTTCTCCCACTGCTATGCCCTTTGCTGTCTCTTCTCTCTGTGCCATGGACATTTTCTTCTCACTGCTTTCAGCTGCTTCTGGAACTTACTTCTCTCTCCTCTCCTTTCCCCTCCTCACTGTTGCTGTGCGTAAGAGCTCACAAAGAACAGGGAAGGAAAAATCATAGAATCATAGACTCATAGAGTTGCCCAGGCCAGAAGGGACCTCCAAAGGCCATCTAGTCCGACCCCCCCGCAGTCAGCAGGGACACCCCCAACTAGACCAGGTTGCCCAGGGCCTCGTCGAGCCTCACCTTGAATATCTCCAGGGAAGGGGCCTCAACCACCTCCCTGGGCAACCTGTTCCAGTGCTCCACCACCCTCACAGTGAAGAACCCCCTCCTCATCTCCACTCTAAATCTGTTCCCCTCCAGCTTGAAGCCATTGCCCCTTGTCTGTCACTACAGGCCTTTTTAAACAGGCTCTCCCCAGCCTTCCTGTAGGCCCCTCAGGTACTGGAAGGGGCTATAAGGTCTCCCCAGAGCCTTCTCTTCTCCAGGCTGAACAACCCCAGCTCCCTCAGCCTGTCCTCGTAGCAGAGGGGCTCCAACACCCTCATCATCCTTGTGGCCCTCCTCTGGACCCGCTCCATCAGGTCCATGTCTTTCCTATACTGAGGGCTCCAGACCTGCACACAATACTCCAGGTGAGGTCTCACCAGAGCAAAGTGGAAGAATCACCTCTGTGGACCTGTTGGCAATACAGCTTTTGATGCAGCCAAAAAGAGTGAGATGGGAAGAGAGCCAGAGCCAGATATCAAAATGATGAGTGGAAGAAGAGAACCTGTTTAACTCTGCCTTGATGAAGTAACAGGACCAGAAGCAAGTTTAGGAAAAGGCTTCCTGGACTCTCCTCTATCACTCTGCTTCAAGGTTGTCAGCCCTGCAGAAGAGAGCGCAGCAGTAGCTACTCAGCTACAGGAGGCCCTACATTCTCACTGTCTATTTAAAACATTATTTATTGCTCTGGCCTAAAAGGAACCATTACACCATCTAATCCCTGACTGCAGAAATATCCACGGGTGCTCAAGACAAGGCTGGGCTGTGTGAAGGTTGACTCAGTAGAAGGGCATGTCCTTTTTTCAGGCTTTGACTGCTACACTTACAGCGCTGATTGGCCATTAATCTTAAAAGCAATTCATCTTTCTCATACTTATTGATTAAAAAAATGTAGAGTAGCAGACAGTGACATTGTTACTGACCTTGAGAATTCTACTGTCATTGCCAAAAAGGCAAAATAAGCCACACTTGCCTACAGTTGTTTTGTCAGAAAGCTTAACTTGGCTCCCATGTTTCCTTTCATGATTTGGATTTTCCATGATAGCATGGAAGAAGAATTGGTACAGCTGAGCAGCTATGGTTGCCTTGCTGTGTTTCCAGGTGAGTATTCCTGTGAACTTATACTGCCTTCAAATAAATGGAATTGCCAGCTGTGTCAGAGATCTTTATCTCTAAGGAATGTTGCTTTTATTGGAAGAGCTGAGCGAAGAGCTCTCTTACGAATCTGAGAGTGGAGATTAGACTTGTTGCCTTTAGATTAAACCTCTCCTAATTAACCTTCCAATTAACCACATCACTCCTTTGAACAAGACTGTAAATACAAATGGTAGTCCATTCCCTTTTATCAAAGAACAGACTTTGCTAGATAGAATTGTGATATATGACCGTAATCTACAGAGAATTATATTTGCAAGAATTTTAAACTCTGCCATTAGTCACCAGGGTGAACAGAGAAGGCACAGCTGCTACGACAAGAACAAAAAGCAAAGCATGAAATGTTATAATCATAGTTTTCTTTTGCAAAGAAGTGAGCTCTGAGATGCAGGATCACTTGGAAATACTGGTTGCATTCGCCAGGTTTGAAAAAAATCTTGAGTAGAAAACTATGCCATTGAGAAATTAAGGAAACAAAACATAACCAACCAAGTATCCTTAAGACAGGAAGCAATGGATCTGCAACAACCATGCAGTGCTCCAGATGGAATCTTACCCTCACTCCTCTGAGAAGGAGCAAATCTACTCCAGAGCATTTTTTGCGTGATTCCTCTTATGCTGAAATACCACCCTCTCCTATTCCTGTCCTCAGCCAGAACAGTGCCTATCCTTATTGCCTTCTCAAATACTGCTTTTTCATTTGTGGAAAGCTCTTTCAGTTAGAGACTATGTTCTGCTCAATGTTCACTGGTGAGAATGGAAATTGTTTAAAAACTGGAAAAAGCTCTGTGTGAAATTTTTGTTTATGAACTACAGCTTAATCAGAACTTATTTTTCCTCTTCTCACTTTTTTGGTTGTATATTGGTGCCTTTGTATTGAAGGATTTCACTGTTACATGACCTTGCTGAGCAAAGTAATCATTGTGTAGCTGGTTTCCACTGGGCAACACTGGTTGTCAGAGATGCAAAAGAAACTGGGGTAGATTACCCAGGCTCTAACAGGATCATCCTCTGCTCAGTGTATGTAGCCAACTACCAAAAAGTAGGTCCAGCTCCATATTCTCCCTGATGGACAAACAGAACATGGACAAGACAGCCTGCCACACCAACCCAAACAAACCATCATGCCATCATTGATACTGAACTACTTCACCCCCTGAGGATTTGTATTCCTCTGCTAGAAGGCTTGATGGAAACACAGGAAGACCTTTCATGCCAGATTCTTGTCAAGGCAATGCATCCTTCCTAATTTTATTGGCCAAACCAAGAGCACAGGGAGTTCTAGCACTCTCATCTGACACTCTATATTTCTGTTGACTGTATCTGTTCTTCATGCTGCAGCAAGATGCAAGCCATGTCTCCTCAGCTCCCTTCTTGGAGCTATCCCTGCTCTCTCAGGTATAAATCTCTCCTTGAGGAGCTTCCTTTCT